TCAACTGACCCTAAAAAAAAAAAAAGAACAACTGATGGGAAGTCTGACCATTTTATTTTGGCGTGAGAAAATGTGGGGGTTGGTAGGAGGGGGGTTGACAGTGCGCTTTGAAAGACACTTTTGAATGAGACATAGTAGCATTCCAGTGATTGTTATTCAGACAAATCGCTCCAAAGTTTCCAACATGTGAAGACGAAGGCGCGTGTAATCCAAAAGAGTAAACACTTCTTATTCTTGTGTTGGTATGCGAAGCTCAGGGTGTGACTGGTAGGAAAAAGCGCTCCAAAAGAGCCACCTGGGATATGTGAGACATCTATGAAAGACATGGACAACGGATTGCCAGCCAGACAATGTTGCTTTTTAAAGCTTTTCCCTCTAGAAACTCTAGATAAATAAATGTGGTTGGTTTCCAGAAAGTTAAGTCAACATCTCCTTGCTAAGAAATGTTATATTACAGACGGGTGCTTTAATTCCCCTCAGGTCAGTAATCACCACTCAATCTAATTCATTGAGAGATCAATCTCAATGGAGGGAAAAGTATACTGATTTTAAAAAAATGTTCATGATATTCAGTGTGTTTCTTCCTCAGGAATTATAAGTGATGGACACGTTCCAGTGACTCACCACAGGCCAACCTATCCAGGCATAATGCACGTCCTTTCCTCTCTTCCCTCCCTGCGAGAGGTTTGAGTAATGAAGCATACCGCTTTGTTGCAGGCCGGCATTTAGCTGCCTTAAGTCAATCCTTGCATTTGATTTGGAGCCTGGATCACACCCATGGGGGGAAAGCAAACCCTGCTAATATCAGCCATGCTCCAAATGTGGAAAGCTTCTTGGCTGCTTCCGCACACTCTCTCATGCACACGCACAAAATCTATTTTCTTTGCACCAGCAGAAAAAGACAACCCCCTCTCCACTCCACTCCCTGGAGTTTTTAAAACTTCCAAACTTCTCAAGTGGGGGACCCTTAACAGTAGGGAGACAATATCACAATAGCTCATAGAAATGCTGCCGCTCTCTGTTCTGTTGGCGTCTCTCCCGCTGAATGGAGTTTGTCTGCTGGTCCAATGTTATGGCATGATAATGACTCCCCGGCTCTCCAAATGCCACCTCGCTCTGCTCTGGAGAGAGGGCAAGCAGGTTAATTACCATGACAATGGGGACGCTGAGAGTGCTGCCGACTCCGGACACCGCATGCAAGATGACCGGGATGACTTTCTCATCACAAATGGAAAACAGGAGGCTTTGATTTCCTTAAACGCAGACAGATGGACGGGGTCACCTCGTCTTTGTCTAAAATATTAGGCAGTCCTTCCTCGCATTTTCCTCACAGGCAGGGAGCTCCCTGAGGCTCTTTAACAGAGCTCTTGGGTGGACAGGCCTTCTGCCCTAACGCACTCCGCGGGAGCCACCGCTTTTGTCTCTCTGTTTGACTGTGTGCTGTTCATGAAGTGAAGAGGCTAATCAGCGGCTGTAGAGCTATTCACAGGGAACCACTGTACAGCATGGGCTCATTTGGTACAATTGTAGAGTGGCTACAATAGCCGTGTTTTGACAGACTACACAAGGGCCTTGAGTGTGCACTCGAGTCATTAATGTGGATGTAAAGTGTGGTGGTGTTTGCTACCAAAATATTGACTTCTGGCCACAAATTAAACTTCAGCCCTGTGCCCTGTCCTGCATCCTGAATAGCTGAACCAAAACCTAGGATACAATTAAATTAATTAAAGTCAGAGAGCCCTTGAAAGTATTTGGAAAGGCAGAGTGGCAGAGTACCACAGTTATACAGCAGTAACACAAGCATGTCATTATTTTTAAGGGCTTACATCAAATCCAGCCTCATTCATTTTCTGCCTACAATTAGGATAGAGAAGTGCTAACTGACGTGCTTGTTACAGCAAGGGGAACAAGCAGTCCATTAAAAGAGTTTTTGGACATTGGAGTTTCAGCTATGTTAGCTGGTTGATTATGAAAACAGTATGCCGTGCTTGGACTCACAGCCAGCAAAAGCCTTTTTCAAACATAAAACTCTGCCGAATGGCTAGTGCCAAGAGCCTGTGTTGGCCATCACAGCGGAAAGGAGAGAAGGAGAGATTCACAGCATTATGAAAACAAAAGATGATTGCGTATACGTTACCTTTAAACTTCGTCACAGAAAAATAACATAAAAGGACATATTCTTTCTCACACGTTAGTTAACTGTGCTTTCCTTTTAAGATGCCTGTATTACAATTATAATCAGAAGTAACACTACATAATAATAGTTTATAATTTACAGACATATTACAGATATATCAGTGATGTGACAGAACAATGCTGTAAACATTTGCTAAGCTGGGGAAGGGAAATCACCTATACATTTGCAGATGGGGTAGAAAGCACAAAGCACTAGCTCTGCTGTATCCCAGGCAAATGCAAATTGCCAAGGAAACAATTTGAAATTCAAAAGAGGAATTTAGAAATCAAACACAAAGGGTAATTTTGTGAGCCAGTTGTTACTAGACACTGATTGTGATTAATATGTACACCAAATGTAAGGTCATGTCAAGTAAGCATACGAAAAAATGCTACCTCTCTGCATTTTCTTGAATTTCTAATTAATCACCATCATTGCAATACGGTGTCCAAATACTCAGCATGCATTCCTCTAGACATACAACATCTGTGGACTTGTGAGAAAAAACAATAAATACACACAAGGACTACATCTAATTTGTTATCACCTGGACAGTAACATACATCATGTCTTTCATTTAGACAATGAACATGTGTTGTTTACAGGTGCTGGTCATATAATTAGAATATCATCAAAAAGTTGATTTATTTCAGTAATTCCATTCAAAAAGTGAAACTTGGATATTATATACAAACACAGACTGATATATTTCAAATGTTTATTTCATTTAATTGTGATGATTAAAACTGACAACTAATGAAAATCCCAAATTCAGTATCTCAGAAAATTAGAATATTACTTAAGACCAATACAAAAAAAGGATTTTTAGAAATGTTGGCTAACTGAAAAGTATGAACATGAAAAGTATGAGCATGTACAGCACTCAATACTTAGTTGGGGCTCCTTTTGCCTGAATCACTGCAGCAATGCGGCGTGGCATGGAGTCGATCAGTCTGTGGCACTGCTCAGGTGTTATGAGAGCCCAGGTTGCTCTGATAGTGGCCTTCAGCTCTTCTGCATTGTTGGGTCTGGCGTATCGCATCTTCCTATTCACAATACCCCATAGATTTTCTATAGGGTTAAGGTCAGGCAAGGTTGCTGGCCAATTAAGAACAGGGATACCGTGGTCCTTAAACCAGGTACTGGTAGCTTTGGCACTGTGTGCAGGTGCCAAGTCCTGTTGGAAAATGAAATCTGCATCTCCATAAAGTTGGTCAGCAGCAGGAAGCATGAAGTGCTCTAAAACTTCCTGGTAGACGGCTGCGTTGACCTTGGACCTCAGAAAACACAGTGGACCAACACCAACAGATGACATGGCAGCCCAAACCATCACTGACTGGAAACTTTCCACTGGACTTCAAGTAACGTGGATTCTGTGCCTCTTCTCTCTTCCTCCAGACTCTGGGACCTTGATTTCCAAAGGAAATGCAAAATTTACTTTCAGCAGAGAACATAACTTTGGACCACTCAGCAGCAGTCCAGTCCTTTTTGTCTTTAGCCCAGGTGAGACGCTTCTGACGCTGTGGCTTGACACAAGGAATGCGACAGCTGAAACCCATGTCTTGCATACGTCTGTGCGTGGTGGTTCTTGAAGCACTGACTCCAGCTGCAGTCCACTCTTTGTGAATCTCCCCCACATTTTGGGGGGTTTAGTTTCACAATCCTCTCCAGGGTGCGGTTATCCCTATTGCTTGTACACTTTTTTTTACCACATCTTTTCCTTCCCTTCGCCTCTCTATTAATGTGCTTGGACACAGAGCTCTGTGAACAGCCAGCCTCTTTAGCAATGACCTTTTGTGTCTTGCCCTCCTTGTGCAAGGTGTCAATGGTCGTCTTTTGGACAGCTGTCAAGTCAGCAGTCTTCCCCATGATTGTGTAGCCTACAGAACTAGACTGAGAGACCATTTAAAGGCCTTTGCAGGTGTTTTGAGTTAATTAGCTGATTAGAGTGTGGCACCAGGTGTCTTCAATATTGAACCTTTTCACAATATTCTAATTTTCTGAGATACTGATTTTGGGGTTTTCATTAGTTGTCAGTTATAATCATCAAAATTAAAAGGAATGAACACTTGAAATATATCAGTCTGTGTGGAATGAATGTATACATTATACAAGTTTCACTTTCTGAATGGAATTACTGAAATAAATAAACTTTTTGATGATATTCTAATTATATGACCAGCACCTGTATATCCTATTTTGAATCCACTGAATACTGACAGCTACTGAGCACATTGTTCAGATTTCTACTTGAACCAGGATCTGCTAGTGTACCATCCATCTTATTTCAGCGCCATAGTGTTCTCTGTCTACAGTCTGTACAGCACATCTCTGAAGGCCTTGTCAGCAGCTCCAGGAGAGTCTGATAGAATATGTCAGCGTCATCTTTTCAGAGGAACTGTCAACACAAGCTTTGAATGAATCTTCTTTGGGACAGGGCACGAAACACAAACAAGCCCTGCGGAAGACATACCATAATGCATCCTACTGAAATTGCAAATGACAAGAGTAGGAAAAACAATCATGCTTTGCTTTTGTAAATCAACAGTCATTTAACCTCTTCAAATCTCATTTAATTGTATCCCATTTACAGGAGCCAGTGAGAATCAATCAATAAAAGCAGACGCAACCTAGTAAGGAAAGTTGAAAAGAAAAGAGTTTTTCTCATTATCAATGTCTATGTCAACAACTCTGGAAGTGTCTCCTGCAGACATGACAGAACCTGTCCTGTCGTGACGTGTATGCTTTATGTTGGGTTATTCTCTCATAATGAGGCATGTATGTGGCATGTGTCTCATTCATGAAAGAAGTGAAACCACACTACCTTGGAGCACTGCTTGTGATTCTGGCACCACACCAAGGATCCATTATTCTGTAAAAGAGAAGGACAAATACAATCAGTCATCAGAGATATTGTTGAAAATACATTTACAGCCTCTCCTATCCTGTCACAATACATCTTAATGCCACACTCCTTAAGGCATGGCCTTTTTTTTGAGTAACAATAATGCTAAGAGTAGACAAATTTGAGTCAGCTTTGCCTGCTGAGTGCATGTAAACTAAGCAGGAAAGTGGGGTCACTGGCACCAGGGCGAGGGTAAACGTCTGGTCAGTTTTAGTAGAGCATGGTGACCTCAGCTTTTTTGTGGACCTGTTTGATCTCTCAACAGTCGTCCCCAAGGTCCCTGAGGCGGGAACTGATGTCAGCACTCCTTTGTAGACTGCAGATACTGCCAATTTCCTCTAATTGCCGTGGAAGTGCCACCTTTCGCGGTCCAACAAAGCAAACATTTGGTCCTAATAGGGCTGTGTATTTAGAAAACTCTCTATGTGTAAATATGGAGGGTTGTCGAGTGAAGGTCCAGTGGGGGTAAATGGCTTGTGCAAGTGGTCATTTCCTGAATTCCATTAGGGCAGATAATTATGCTGTCATTCTCTGCAAACATAATTGTGCTTGGATGGCAAGTGCAAGGCTAATACTTCAGAATAAATGACCAGTCGATCAACATGAAAGACATTAAATGTTTGAATGTGCTGTGTGACACAATAAGTATTTTGTATTAATTTAATCGTTTTAATCCTGGCTCAACTACATAAAGCCATTTTCTTTCCTGTATAGATAAAGGCGCAATCATTATTATTATTATTATTATACAATAACCTGCGGGGAGAGAAAACAAGCTATGAACGTTGACATATCATCCTTAAATTTTATGTTGCAAACTTCTTAGCAAATGGTTGCTTATTTACAGCAGACACAGAGCAACATTATCATGAATTTGAAGTCAAGTTTCTGGCCACTTGATGCAACACCAGTCACATTACACATAATTTGATCCAGAGTTATTATACTTTAAGTCCTACTGCCTCTTGTAGCTCCTGTTTTCTACACCTCTGGATCAGTGATCAAAATCGAATGGAAATATTCTCAATGAAGGCTCTGAGTTTGAATTCATTAATGAAATATTCTAGTCAATGACCTGAATCTGTGCTTCCCTTTTGGATGTTCCCTGCACTTCTTAATAAAAGCAATGAAGCGGTAGGATACAGCCAAACTTTAGGGGTCCACAGGCAAAAAGTCTGCTTAAGTTCAATGTCAAGTTCAAAGCTTTTTCCCACAATGTAATCCAGAAGAAATTTCTCATGAGACCTTGGGAGAGAACTTATCATTAAAGGGTTTAATTTGACATCCAGTACCAGTAAGTGCTGAGCTTTTAGTGTCAAGGATAATGGTCAAATGGCTTCAAAGGAATCCATGATTGTACGATCATGTCTGAAGAGAATCTTTTCCACAAAAAAAAAAAAAAACTGCAGATAAGGATGAAAAATATGAGTCTGAGCGCCAAGGAGACTAGGAATAGTTGTTTCATTTTGTTACCCAATGAAGTGGAAATGAACACTAACTTGGCTGAGGCATTCAGTGTGCATCAGCAAGTCGTCTGCCCTTTTCTGTGCAAAAAGAACACTCTGTTTGGTCAAATGTTGACAAAAATATGAATTATTCCTCACTAGGCAAACATCATTTTGTGCTGCATCACATGATTAAAATCGTTGCGGAGTTTGCTAACTTATTGAACTTATTAAAATTATCAATCCAACCAAAGCCAAACCCCCCATTGGTGACACGCCGTAAATAAAACCTTGACATTTACACTGGCAGCCAATGCCTCGGGATAATTTATACAGATTGTCACAACTCTAGACCATGTTCTAAATCATCAATCCTGTTTTTGACACCTTTCTTCGCCCATCCATCAACAACGACAGAGCCAGATCCACAGAGGAGCTAATTTTGCTCTGTGACAGCATCCCTATAGCGGAGAAGCTCAGCAGGATGTTGCCCCAGCTGTCCAGGCCTGACCCTACCATGTCAGGGACCAACGGGGGAATAATTATAGGTCAGGACTTCATCCCTCTGACTCACCATGACATTCCTGTGCAGCATGAACATTATGCAGTGCTGAGGACTGTCAAGGACTCCAGTGAATGAATGCTTTACAGATATCCTCCTGTGTGACTGGGGTCGAGGAGAGGAGACCAGACAGAGGTCTTCGAATGCGTGGCTAAGGTGAACTCGCTGCTTTGTTACTGACACTGGTGGAGTCATGTAAACAGGGGATTTATCACAGAGATACATTATGGCTGTTGTCAGCTGAGAAGTCAGAGCAGGTGGCCAGGGGCGTGTTGTATTGTCTAGACAACTGAGGGGAACATGGACAAAAAACCCTTTTATCTTTGAGGATAGCATTCCACCTTTTGAAAATGAAAATCTTTTGTTTCCTGTGATTCGCATTAATGGATCTCAGTTTACACTGATGAATTGTTTTTGAATTGCATTCAGTCTTGCCTATCTGTTTTTCCAGCATGAAACTACTGGAAAATACTGCTAGTCTAGGAGACCTTGTACATTTCTGGCCAAGCTAACAGGAGACAGGACTTCAAAGGACAGACTAGTGTCTCTGTGTGTCCTTTGACAGCCCAGGGGTACAAAAATAACTGATCCTTAAGGGCACATATGCAGCACAAAAATAAAGGGTCTCAAGATTTAGGCTTTGACTTGAGTGGGTGTGAGGGCTGTGGTCAGTCTGCTCATAAAGTATTTATCATAAATGAATTATTTGACAGAGGCTCTGAAAGTGAGATAATGTGTTCAGCGCACATGCAATGTTAACATAAAAAGGTGTTTCAGATATCTTAAACAACACTGGTGTAAAGTTGTCCCCACTTAGGAATGAAGTCTATTTGTCAAGTGAGGTAGCTAAGGGTGTAGCAGCACTGGCGGCTGAGATTTACAGACAGGACTGTCATGGTTTAAAAGCATTTACAGAGAGGTGAGGCCAAGCTACATAGACCCCTATTCATCCGCTGTCTTCACTAATGAAAAACTCCACAGATGAGAAGAGCGCTGGCTGAGGTTTGATTCCACCGCAGGTTATTTAATATCAAAGGCAAAAACAAGGGGACACGGAAAAACTACTTTCCAATGTTTTTTCTTTCCCTCGCTTACAACACAAATCTCTCAAGCAAGATGCTTAGACTTTACTGCACAGTACATTAGAAATGAATGACTGAATTTAAAATGTTAAGATTTTTATTGGTTTGAATGTAATAACAAGACCTCATGGACACACCTTGTTTTTGGCTTCACATGTCCCCACATAAATAATCCACTACAAGGCTGATGCTTTCAGAATACATTATTGCACAGGGCTCCCAGCTCGCTCTTAATATTTTAAGTGTCCGAGGCTAATATTTATGGTTGGGTGTTCCCCTCTGTCTATTGTACTGGGGTGACAAGTTCCCCAAATGTGGCGTAAAATGTCAATAAATCTGTATTTGGAAATACTATTACATCAATAAATCTACAGTTGCTATAAATCTGACAAGCAATGGACGGCCCATGGGTTTCTTAACTCCGCAACTCCATGCTTGTTTCCATTTCACTCTAATTTATAATTGCGACAATTAAAACAAAGTCCTCTAAGTTGTCCTCTGATTCAGCCACATAAAAAGGAAAAACCGCGTGGGTGTTCATAACATCTGCAAGTGCTAAATTCTCCAAGTATCATTCCAGTATTCATAGAATGATCAAATTAAAGCTGATATGGAAAACAGAGGTTTAAATTCCAGCTGCAAAGTGTGTTAAAATGACAAATTGTCTCTTGTACCGTACCCAAAATAAGTACTGGTCCATATAGATTACAAGATATTGAGTAGACACATAAAATATTAAGAAACAGTAGGCAAAAGTCATTGCTTTGACATACAGCCAAAGCATTTAATTTCTATTAAAATGGAAAGTGTTGTATGTCTTGGTTTTCCTATCGTGTATTGAATGACCCCTGAAGGATGTCCGAGTTGAATTAAGAGGTCTGTCGTCTCAATCATTGGAGTGGAGCTCCGAGTGGCCCCATTGCTGTAATAAGATCTTCCAGAGGAAGCAGATCCACCTGTAGGTTGTGCTGACAGAGCATGCTCCAGTATTGTGGCAACAATACATTAGAGCTTATCACATTTAGCAAAACTGGGAGCCAGCATTTAGCAAGAAGGTGACCTCAGTGGAGCATCATCGGTAGCTTGGTGTGTATCCTCTAAATGCCTATGAGGTGTGATGCTGGCATTTATTGGCAGGTCCAGGGGGGTAGAGGGCAGAGGGGGGAGGTGAGCCATATGTTTTTGCAGCTGACCAGACCCCCGATTTTCACATGAAAGGACTGTTGAGAACACAGTGCATAAGACAGTCCTCGCAGATTATCAACGATTGCCTTCTATTCTTAGACCCACGGGCTTGCTCAAGCAACCTTGCTTATCACTAACCACAAAAATGCTCCTCTCTTTAGACAAATACCTCCCTCTCACTGAATAAGGCTGCCTCAGACTCCGAGGCTCTGCAGTCAATTATATAGACTATTAGCTGTTCATTAGAGGTGAGACTTCCATTACTTACTGGACTTTTCAGGCAGCTGCTGACTAATTTCATTCCCCAACTTTGCAACCCAGGGTAGCAAAATACCCTTGGAATCCTCTCAAAACAAACCTAACACTACTTGCCAAGTTGTGAATTGAGAAACACTGTTTTCAATATGCCTCCTTTGGGTGCACAGCACCACTCTTTTCTGTCCTACCATGATGTTAATTGTAGTTAACTGCATTCATCCTTCACCCCAGGTGCATATTCACCCTCATAAAATTGCTAGATCTAACTGCAGTAAGTCACTGTGTGACATGGGTTAAGAACTACCACACTAGCTCAATAAATGCTTTTAAAGTAAAGTTAATTAGCCACAGCGAAACAAGCAGATTTACCTTGCTCCACAATATTTTCTGACAATTAGAGGATTCATTAAAGCACCTTGAGAAAGACAAGCCTTGCAAATGCAAATGGAGTGAACATAAAGGCGATCACCAGATAGATAGTTGGTGAAAAGGAGCAGAGGGGAGAAGGATCAGAGACCAGTCCTTTTCTCTGGGGTCCTGGGAGAGAACAGTGTGTCCAGTGGAGGGTGAAAAACAACTTCTGACACCACATACCAAATCAGCCAAAGAACACAGCTAATTTATAGTAGCTTCAAACACCCTCTGCATCACAACATGCTTGCAACTGTAAAATTCTCTCTATGAATATGTAAGGCAGTGGTTCCTCTCATATGAGAGCAGTACAGATGCCTTGGTAGTAATACTGTACAGAGTTATAACAGAGGTTAAGTCCATCACATTAACAAAAAGGGGTATCTGATTTTTTTTCCCAGTATGCTAATTAGCATGAGTGGAAAGTGGCTCCACTGAAAGGCGTTCATCATTTCTCAGTCTGAAAAATGCTGCAACATGTTAATTAGATATTAAAGTGTCCCACATTTAGGCGACCATGATACTCTGTATATGTCAACTTTGCAAGCAACTCAACCCTTCAAATGCTTATATATGCAACTTGTGGGCTATTATTTTGATGAAACCCTCCGTTCAGAAAGGTCTGATTTCCTTGTGAGTAATAATTCCTGACAGAAAGCACAGACAATAAACAGAGAAAGTGTTTCAGCACCATTAGTGACCTGCTCCTCTCTACTCAGAATGGGCTCAATAGAAACAGAATTGACTTATAGCCTATGGGAAGAATCGGTCTGGCACATATTCATTCATCATATATTACAACACCGCTTTTATTTCTGATTCCCCGACACATTGCCAGAAGTTTGCGTGTCTGTGGCCACATGCTTGTACCTGAGAGTGCTTGAAAAAAGCAGAGATGCGAGTGATGTGCAGGCTGAGGCATCTCGAGGCGCATCTTGCTCGGTAAATACTGGCAGTGAAGAAAGAGTCGTCCTGCTTCCTCGCAGACACACTTCCCGGGCTCGTTAACGCGGTAATCCACATGCACAGGGTCACACACACGTTCAGGCTCCTACAAAACATGGTCCCGCGGTTGTGTATTTAATCCCACCACGGATCGGACAACACTGCGTGCAGGCTCCGCCGGAGAAACTAAAGAAACTTCAATTATACACCGGGGCGGAGTCACGGGCTCCCGTGCGCTGCGATTGGACGATCCCGCGGTGACTGACAGACACGAGGAGCGTTAGAGCAGGTAGACTGCTGCATATAGTCCTGCACACTATTCAAAGCAGGAGCAGGTTGTTCAGAGAGCTGGCCTGCAAGGAGGAAGAAAAATCTATCTATCTGTCTATCTGGATATATAACTAATAAAATGAATTGCATTCTATTCTGTTTCTAGAAACATTGCATTACAAGTAAATTGTAGGTATCCTGACTTTTAGTCCCCTAGTATAGGAATCCTACATTTCCCATAATGCACTCTAGTGTCTTTCATTAGAGCCCCCAGTCTCCCAAAAGCCCACTCCACACTTAAAGTTTGTAATGCAGGCTTTCTGATACACTATCAAAATCCAGTCAGAGATAATAAAATACTTTTGACTTTGACTTCACACATTTTAGTTAAAGGTAAATAACAGACAAACACATATCATTCCTATATAATTAAATTTGCCCCGAGGAACATGGAAAAAGAAACTGCAGACTTGTACTTGTTTATTCATTTGTTGTTTCCTTCCTTCCTATCATTTATTCATTAATTTTTGGGCAGAGTACCAGCTTTTGCCTTCATAAAACACCCCAACAGAATACCCAAACATCATGCACAATGGAAAGCAAGGTACACACCTGTCTAATATAAGCAGAAAGATTAGACCTACTGCCATCAACTCATGACACAACTCATCAGAAATTTCGAGAAGACAGGTTTTCCATATCAAACTCTCACATATGGCCTTGGTGAAGCTTGCCAACATCCCAGGGAAGCCCTCGCCTCCCAGTTTAACAGTAGCTTGGAAAAACAATTCCACTTGGAAAACTATTAAAACCATCCTGACTAAATTCCTCAAGATGGACTCCCAACTTCTGGCATCATTTCATACCCGGAGGTATGGAGAAAATATGACATGTAGGAAAAGCTTGAAATCCTTGCTATTTATTGGAGTTAATAAGTGAGTATTTAATTAGAAAGTTCCCTCAAGGGTTTACAAGACACTCCTGCTTTTGTCAGCTCATGGAGTACTTCCCTGAACCCCATTACAGCAGCAGCATAATGAAGTTTTATAGGTGTTGCTCTTAAACAGTGTGCAGAGTGGGAGTGAACACACACTTCCACACCATCAATAGATTTGGCTTAAGTCGCCATCTTGCCTTGGGCCAATTACGCATTGGGCCAAACAGTTTGACCCATGCCCCTCCAGTGAAATGGTAATACGCCCATATTAGCACATCCGGAACAGCAGACATCGTCGCTATGATGGGGATTATGAAATCAAACTAAAAATCCCCATCAGACACAAAACACCCATGTCATTCACAAATAACAACATCCTGTTTGGTTAAAGTAAGCAGATAGCTGCAATGAAAGCACTGGCCTGTTATAGTTCTGCAAAAGTATGGCCATGCATCATACAAATCATCTCACAGCTCTCTAATGATAAGATGGATGTGTGTTCATTTCCCTGGTGGTCTCAGACATACAGTGTAACTTGGGGTGAGAGATCCCATGCTACTCTTTAAATATTTAAACACGGATGTCTGTGTACCTTAAAAACAGCATAATGGCTTAATTTGTTGGCTTATTACAGCCATGTGTGGTGGGTGGTTTTATAGTGTGCAGTGAAGGAAACACACTGTCTGTGTGCGGTCCTGATGTCTCCTGCAGCCTGTGGGACACGTACCCCTCTTGACGCCATGCTTTCATTGACTTGGAAAAGCCTCTGCCAATCATGAACTGAGACTATAAAGCTACCAGGAGAGGGCATGTTTGTCTGACTGGATTTCATCTCTAACTCGCGTCACTACATTAATTCACACCTATATTTACAATGAGTCACTGTTGACAACATGTGTTTACCTATGTAAATAGACCTGCTTGTACATAAACATGATCCAATAAACATGAGCATACGTGCACCCAGTCTTTATTGCAATTGTGAATGTGGTTGATTTAGAAGACATTGCTCAACTTTGTAGACAATCACTAATATTTATTAAACACAAACCAGTGGCTGCACACTGCTTTCAAAAATTAAAATAATTTCCATTACTCTCACCCTAATATCTCTACTGGAACCTTTTACTGATCTTCGAACCCCAATTTTCTGGCTCAATTTGTCCTGCTTTGTAAAACAGTCAATCAATATCCCCAGGTTCAGTGCTAAACAGAAACTGATATATGTCGCAAATATTATTTTTAGTTTTCCTACAATTATCGTATGATTGCTCTTCTTTATGTGGAGGGTTTTGTCCAAGAACACTCGGCAGCTTATTTGCTCCCTCTTTAGTTGGTATTCTGAGAGATGACTGGATATGCTGGTGAGGCGACCGGCTGCAAATGATTTAACAAAAGGCGTCTCAAAGATACCACACCAGTATCAGTTTTCAGCCTGCTTGCTACTGAGAAAGAAGGTGCATGGCGATCAAACACTTTAGTATCTTTGATCCTTAGAGGTGCAGGTGGACTCAGAGTTCGCACCTTTGATGAGAGGCCACCCGGATTAGAGGAGACACCCGGCTTGTGTTGTGAACTCTATCAAACAAAAGAGAAGGAGATGAGCTCAGGTGGAGGCACTATTACATGGATTAGAAGAAAATGTAGATGCCAAAATGCATTTATATACCTTTTTATGTCATCATCTAGAGGTATATTACTAATGCTGTTGCATTATGTAAGATTTTATAGTAGGCTATTGTTTTCAAAATTTTAACAGGTTGATGCTTGCTAATAGACAAGACAGAAAGTTCAAAGATCTCCCACTTCACCACAGCCAAACCTCTGAGTCTATAATTCCACCATCTGAAATATCACTGCCTAATCTGCGCAGGTTATGATTTAGTATAAATCAAATTTCCAGAGTGATACTAATACTAAGAAAATGGCTTTCAGGCAAATCAGCAGGTCTATGTCTAAGAGCAAGCTACAACAATGACATCATTGCAACAGATACCTAGTACAGTGTCATCTAGCAGGGAGAGGCAGAAAACACTGAAATCTTGCCCAAGTCAATACTCACATAGCGGTTGATTAAACACCCTTCATCACATTGCCATTCTTGAAGTAGCAGACACACACACACACACACACACACACACACACACACACACACACACACACACACACACAAATCAATTTTAAACATTCATTTTGTTTATTGATCCTCTTTTGTTCCGTTTACCAAGTTATATTATGGCAACACACAGAAGGCAGTATATTAAAGAGTTCAGTCAGTGTCTGTCATGTTCCTGTCATTCTTTTGGTAGATAACAGGAGCAGGTTGATTTGCATTGCATGTCAATTATTCCATTTCATTAGCAGAGTTGTTTTGTTTTTGAGTATTGATTTAGGCAAGCCACAGGGAGGCATCTCTTGCAGATGAGAGAGGGGCTAGTATTGATTTACAGTGTGATTCATAATTTGTATTTTGGATGTGCTATTTATACTTCGCCTCTGATTTGGTCAATTATTGATATTGCTCTTTTATTTTGAGCTGCGACTTCATGCCTGTGATGCACTGCACTGCTATCCTTTCAGGTGAACCATAAGTGGATGGTTATGTCCTGAAACCAATAAAGTATAGTGTGTGGGAAATGTTTTTCTCTCTAAATAGGCTGTCTCACTGATAAAAAAAAACCCTTCAGCTATATAGTCAGTCTTTTGTCTATTCATAATTTCAGGTCAATTCACTTTGGGCGTGTTTACACGAATTTCTAGCATTCCCTGAGAAAATATTTGTCTTGTGTATGAGGTTGGAAAAACCTACTTGGCATGGAGGACTTCTATATAGATGTCTGCATGAAATATTTCCCTTCTTTCACCACCTCCCAAAACAATGCAGCGTTGTTTAATGGTGGGGGTTGGGGGTCCAGTACAAGCTGTTATTCACATATAAACCACCCACTCAGAGCTAGAGTTACATTTGGGTTTCAGTTTAGACAGTGATGGTTGACTGACAGCTGTGTATCCCTCAGTGGTTGTTAGCAGGCCGGATGATAATAACTGTACCTTTTTACAAAGTGTGCTAGTGTTTATTTTCAGATTGGATATAATAGACATAGAGGACACAAGTAGGGTGGAGTTATGAAACAGCACTGATTTCTACTAATCTATTCTGAGGATGAAGACAGAACATGTTATCCAAATGAGGATGATCTCAGTGCTTATTAATGCATAGTGTACCATTTTGCACCACTAGATGGCAATGTGTCCACAGACAACTTTTAGGTCCAGACAAGCTCTTTGACACCTCTTTCTCGCTCTCTCTCTTTCTCATTCTCTTTTTCTCACAATATTTTCCAGGAGATGATCCAGCATTAATACCCAACAATGGGGAATTTATCAGGGGGATTTTGTTCTCTCGTCTGAGGCAAACAATTATCAGATATGATGGAAAATAGAACACATTTTGAAACTCAATGTAATCTCTCTTTCTCTGTGTCTGTCACACACACACACACACACACACACACACACACACATACATGCACATACACTAACACATTCAAATTATTTTACACACACACACACACACACACAAAGACGCATACACACAACTCTTACATAGTGAAGCAGGGTTTATCCATGTTGTATAACCTAATTTGGTAGGGAAAGGTAACAGAGGGTAATGAATCATTTGATTTTACATATCAGATCACGAGGTGCTTGACATCTCCATATGAATGACTTTTATCAGTGATGTGTGATAACACAGTTTGTTCTTTCCTGCCTGTTACACAATCCCATCATTCTCAGCCACATGTAAATCTCTATGCCTCTCTATGTTATCATCACTTATTTCCAGAAGGAACAATCCGAACCACGATAGGCCTTTTTAAAATGTCATCTCCTGAACATGGAGGTCACGGGTTGATTATGTAGAGAGACATGTCACAATGTTGTATTGGGTGTCTAGCTGAGTGCAGGCCC